GCGGCGCTGGCGCATGACAAGCAAATGCACGGCGGGGCAGGGGAAAAAGGACTGGGCGGGCAACACCAGGGCACCTTCCCAGAGCCCCCCGCTCCCAGAGCCCCCCGCTCCCAGAGCCCCTGCCTGCGGTAAGAGTGCGGCTCCACACAACCAAACCCGCGGGGGTTTCTGCCTCTGAGACAGCACAGGGCTGCAGGGTAGAAGCTCTCTCAGCTTCCAGCGGGAGAGGCTGTTAAGCTAAAAACCATCTGAGGGAGGGACCCCTACCTTAAATAGTTCCCTGAAGACTTTATCAAGTCTACTATTTGCTTGTGACTAAAGCCATCAGTGTTCACGCCGTTGATGCTGGCGAGGATGTCGCCTGTTGGGGACATGGAGAGGTGAAAATTAGCATCTGCAGCACCCGCACGCCTTCCACATGCTCTCCCATGACAGTAACTGGGAGAAAAGCAAGGCGAGAGCACCCACAGCAGGAAAATCCCAGGGACAGTTACCAGTCTGAAGGCCAGAAAGATGAGCAGGACTTTCGTCTTGAATTTTGCAGACGCACGTGCATACCTCCAGGGAGCAATCGTTCGGGTTCGGAAACCTAATAGTCTGTTAACAGCAAAGTGACAGTGTTACCGATGTTACAGCCATGAAAACCATTTAAAAATTAATAGTCTGTTTGCACATTTTTAAATGAGAAGGCTGTGAAGAGCAGGGTACGTGCAAGTGACAACACCAAATGCTATAACCTAGCAATCAGGAACTGCATTCTCACCGGAGAGGCCAGCAGACGCCTGGCAGATGCCTCTACACTGGGTTTGCAAAAAAAACCCCTTAGTTTTAAAGCAAGTTGGTTATTCCTTATCAAAAGCTCAGTAACTTCAGTCCAGAATATCTGTGAGCGCGGACGCGGATTGCTTGCTGGAAGGACATTTCGTGTCCCCAGTCGCAGCACGGCAGGGCGTGACGCCGGCTTTCCGAGCGTCGCCGCCTCGTTGCAAACGCCGTGTGAGGTTGGCTGCACTGCCGGGTAGATCAGTTTGCAACGAGACCTCAAAAGCAAGAAGCATCGAACCTGCTTTTGCTCTTTTGGCCTCCTAAACCCGGTATTCGTGCACATCCCCACACCCCCTTGAACGTGCTCCTTATTCCTGACTTTGTTCTAAGTACAAAGCCACCACGTGATTACCAGTGCTGACACGGATCTAGAAAAAGGCCAGGGTGGGCGATGCAACCTGAGCAGCTCCTGCAGGGACGGGAAACGCCTTCTCGGTTACAGGCAACCAGCAGCGCTGAGCCGCAGCTTCCGACCAAGATTTAAGGCTGGAGCTGAACTTCCTGAACACCTGTGGCAGCCACGTCTAACCCAGATATAAGAACTCACGTTAGATTCCCAAAGTTCTCAGTCAGCGTGGGACAAGTAGGGGTGAAGACTGGGTGAGCTCAGAGCTTACCTGCCCAAGTCACACCACTGCCATGATTTCAGCCCTGAGACCAAGAGCAAATCTTTTGGCTAAGCCCAGAGAGCGCCAAGTGAAACACGGGGGTCTGGGCGGACGTGCCACTGCGGGCTCGCTTGCCTTTTTTTTTTTTTTTTTTAACCTATTTCAGAGCGGTAGGGCTCACCTCCCAACCCGAAAGATGGGCCCAGCCTGAGCGATGCGAGCTGGACGAGCGGGATGGGATGCCTCACACCTAACTGGAGCCGTCCGGACAGAGGCATCTCGACGTCCCCCCCAAGAGCAGCGCTCCGGCCAGGAGGGGAGGCTTCCCCCTCCTGTGCCACCACCTCCCCACGGGCTGCAGAAGGCGACTGGGCCGTGGTTTGGGGGGGGACACACAGATTTTAGGTGGCTGTCCCCTGAGAGCGGTGCTACCGGGGTGTCCACACTGCAAACACCCAGGCACTTCGGGAGCCGCACGGTGTCCAGCTCGCCCCTGGGCTCGCCCCGGCCCGCGAGTGGGACCTAAGAGTGGCAACACGGCAGGAGCCCCGGTGTGCTGCTCAGCCACCACTGCAGTTCTCACCAGCTCCCTGCAGATGGTAGACCTAGAGCTTCACATCATCCCGCTCCGCTTCGCCTCCATCCAACTTGTAGTAATGAAATCACAGCTCCTAAACAACGGCTTATCCTTAGTACCAGGCAGATGCTGCCTTTCCATAGCCCGGCCTTTCTAGCGAAGGGCCCGCGCTGAATGTGCATTCAGGCAGGAAATGTGCCAAGAACAATTATTTTTAATCAGAATGTCACACAGAAGGAAAATCTGCCCTGACAACTTATATAAAAGCCCAATAATTGACTCAATTATCCTCCCTTCTGAAAGCTTTCCACTGCTCACGAGCTGAACGCTTACCCGCTCATTAGTCACAGAACCAAATTTGAGAAAGTTAAGCTTGTCCTAATACCCTAATTTCCCTGAAAATACTGTTTTCCCCTTGTGCAGAGATACAGGCGAGTGCTTCAGAGACAGCCTGCCGCTGCGGTGAACGCAGCAGAGGGACAACGTGCCAGGGTCTCGCGGGCACGGCTCACGGAAGAGGCTCCTTGCTGCAACCCCCTGCCCCCAAAACAACTTCGGTTTATCACTGGGATCATCTTTTATTTATAAGAGGGATTTTAGCAGGCCGGCTGACCCAAGAGCTGCCCTTCTCACAGAACTCTACAGGACAAAAATCTCCCTCCGCAGTGCTCCTGATAAGATTCTGCGTTTCCTGTGCGATGATTTACTGACTTTACATCCCACAGAATACCTTCCTAGGCGATCTAGCCCCCCAAAAGTCACGCTTAGCAATTATTTATTAAAAAACATGCCAACACTGTACCTCTACTTCAGAAATACGGGTGTCTCTGCATATGCTAAAGGAGGCAGTAAAACGCTGGAATAAGGTGGGGTTTGGAGAGAGAGATTTTCAATCTCTCTCTTTTTATATGAAAATATTCTCATATACAATTCTCCCCAAAATACTCGCTCACGGAGGTACGAAGCATTGCCATTGCCTCACATCTGGGACTGGATGAGATTTCTCCTACATTCAGCTCATGACTTGTGAGAAGGCCAGAAATCCTCATTGGTGACCCTCACTATGAAAAGGTCCTTGGCAATGCATCTGGTTTCTGTCTGACTGCTGCAAGCCCTTCACGTTCCACCAGGAGCGGACTGGCCTCTCCGTCTGCTCTGTGCTGTCCTAACCTGATTTTGAGGATGCGACACTGTATTTTATTTTTAAATTAATCGACTGGTCATTTAAGTTTTACCTGGATTTCAAACCCGAACGTCTCTTTATCTTCTTTTAATATAGCAACGAGGTGCCTGCAAGAAGAACACACCGAATTCCGTATGACTGCCGGGGCGCCACGCTTCATGCACCCTGTAGCTGTAACCAGCCCAACCGTGCCCCCGCAAGCAGGGTGTCAGCACGCCTCCCCTCGGGCAGCACGGGGGTGCTTGTGCTTCCCTTGCTCAGCCCGATGTCCCAATTTCATCTGCACACCCCAGGTGTCAGGCACTTCGCACCCCTATCCCACCAGGGCTGCTAAAGGGGAAGACCCCCAGGACACCCGTTAAGGGAACAGCAGTGATGGTACAAGAACATCTTCGTACCTTTGTGGCCTGGAGGAGTCGCCCAAGGAGCTGGATCTGGCTAAGGCAAGCTGCAACCAGAAATCGGAGAGGAAAAGGGTCAGTAGGTTCATGGTTCCTTGAGGTATGTGGCTAAATTCAGCAGTTTAGAGCAAACCGAAACCAGCTGGTGGCATCCCACCCCTAGCTGGCACCAAGCCCGCCTCCCCCTCAGTCAAATGAGAAGTTAAACTTTCAGAAAAAGAGGAAATGCAGTTAGGCCCAGGATGCGGCTCATCACCGCGTCCCGAGCCACCTGTGAGGCGCTGAGGCCAGCCCGGCCAGCACTGCAGAGGGTCAGCGGCCAACGGCCACGCCGACTGCGCCCTGCGCAGCTTGGCAACGGTGCTCCCTCCTGCCCGGGGGGCTTCCTCCACCCTGCGGCCCCTCTCCAAGCGTCTTGGAGAGGAGTCTGACGCGGTACCGGGTCTGCTGTCAGCACCCGTGGAGGACGTTAAACTGGCGCTGCTGCAAGGTGAAGCGTCGGCTGCGGCCCATTCTGGCGTCAAGGGTGGCCTCAACCTGCAAGAGGCGGTTATCGAAGGAGTCCATGTTTGGTTTTATTATCTTGGAAATGAAGCACTGGAAAACTGGCCACAGGTCAGCTCTTCCATTTTTCCAAACCTTGTAAATATAAAGTTGAGTATTTCCAAAATAATAAAAAAAAAACCCCAACAACATGGGTACTCTTAGCACACCACAATATTGTCTCAGTGTTCACCTCCAGAAAAGGTCTGGGTATCCGCGCTGGGAGATGGCGATGTGGTACCTGTTCCAAGGGTTTTAGAAAGAATTGGCCACCCGCTGGCTATCCAATCTTCCCTGCAAGAAGCTAAAGCTGAGAGCCGAGCGACCACCAGCCAATGTCAAATGAAGCAAGGCAAGGCTTTTTTTTTTTTTTGCACCAGGGTGATAATTTGACACCTTCACAATCAGCCTTCAGAAACTCACTAACACCTGCTTTGGAGGGGAGAGCGGTCGGGAGCCAGAAGGGGGTGGGCTGGGAGACTTCCCCTGCTGGAAGACCCCTGAAGGAGGATGCTATTGAGGGTGATGGAAGTGGCTGTGAAAAAGCATGAGAGCAAGTGGGAAAAATTCAGGTTGAACCCCAAGGAAAATGTTCTGATGGCAGAAGTGCTTAGTGCTTGGAGCAGGGCACTCTTCCCCAAAGCTGCCGGGGGGGGGGGGAATTTCCGAGGACAGCAGAAACAGGGAAGACAGGAGGCACGGCTACATCCGACAGGGCATCAGAGATGGCCCCCCCACCAGTCCTCCCAACACCCACCACCTTGCTGGCTCATTTCGCATAACTAAAAAACCCCCAAAACCCAACCTACATGGCAGCCCTGTGTTTTCAAGCAAGAGAAGGAACATTCCCACTTTGGGGATGCCCACGGGCCGCAGCGGGGCTGCTCCGTCCCCGGGCACGCAGGCATGGTGCTCCCGCGGGAGGACAGGGGCTGACGGGCACACAGCACCGGGGCGTCTCTCCGAGAGCGCGGACCCTTCGGAACGCTGAAAGGGGTGAGGCGCCACCATTTTGCAGGCCAGGGGTTGCCGTCGCTCCCGTTAACGCCGTAACTCCTGTCGGGAGAGCGCCCGAATCACGCCTCTATTATGCCAAGGCCACGCCATTCTTTTACAGCTTTTCCCTAAAAATCCGTGGGCATTTGTAGCCTCGACGCCTATCAGGACAGGCGGGAGGCGCGCCTAAGTTAAGGTACCCGCAGGCAGTCGTCATCGCTGCC